CTCAGCCTTTGGAACTGTTATTCAAACTCTTTCTTCCATCCTATTAGTTCCAGAGTTTCTAAGAAAGAATATCTAGGGGTACCAGTCTAAAAAGAACATCAGTTTTTTTTTTTTTAATATTTATTTATTTTGGCTGCACTAGGTCTCCATTGCTCTGCACAGGCTTTCTCTAGTTGCAGAGAGTGGGGACTACTTTTCGTTACACTGCTCAGGCTTATCATCACAGTGGCCTCTCCTGTGAGGGAGCAGTCTCTAGGCTCACAGCCTTCAATAGTTGCATCTCACAGGTTAAGTAACTGTGGCTTATAGGCCCTAGAGCATAGGCCCAGAAGTTGTGGCGCATGGGCTTTGTTGCTCTGTAGCATGTGAGATCTTCCCAGATCAGGGATCAGACCCGTGTCCCCTGTGTTGGCGGGCAGATTCTTATCCATTGTGCCACCAGGGAAGTCCAAGAACATAAATTTTAAAAGGCAAGTATATATCTTTCTTTTCCTTTCTCTGGGTCACCTGAGCCCTGAGAAACCTCAGGAGGTGAGTCTTTCTGCAAAATGAAACTGACCTGCTTCTAGACTCAGGTCCTGTGAACTTGCAAAAAGATGGAAGTGTGTGGGCCATCCCTCTGTGTGACACTGTGATATGTAATAAATATACACTTGATCTTCATCCCTGTTTTTGGTGCTGAGCTCCTAAAACCCTTGGAATTTCTTAAGTGATGAAAATGATCAGGGTGTCTCTTGTTATTTTAATAAGATGACTTTTAGAAGCACCTAAATGTGGGGACTGTTTGCTAGGATAACCATGTGATTAGAAGGTTGGAACTTTCAGTCCAACCCCTGATCTCTGAGGGGAGGGGAGCTGGAGGTTGAATCAGTCACCATGACCAATGATTTAATCAATCATGAGTCTGTAATGAAGTCTTCATAGAAACCCTGAAGGACAGAATTTGAAAGCTTCCAGGTGGGTGAACACATGGAGAATTGAGGAAAGTGGTACACTGGGAAGGGGCCTGGCACCTCCATGCCCTGTCCCTGTGCCCTGCCCCGTATGCATCTCTTCCATCTGGCTGCTCCTGATGTACAGCCTTTTATAATAAACGGGTGATCTAGTAAGTAAGATGTTTCTGGAGTCCTATGAACTGCTCTGGCAAACTAATTAAGGCCACGGTGGGATCCTTGGAACCCGCAAGCTGTAGCCAGTCAGCCTGAAGCCGATGTGACAACCTGGGCTTGTGACTGGCATCTGAAGTGGAAGAGGATCTTTTGGGCTGTGGAATCTGATGCCCCCTCCAGGCAGACAGTGTCCGAGTTGAGTTGATTTGTAGGACACCCAGCTGGTGTCTGAGAGATGTTTGTTGATGGGGGAAAACCCCGACTGCATGCTGTAAATGGGTGAGCAGAATCTTACTCTGCGAGTAAATGGCCAGCACAGGTCCATACGTGTTAGATTAAATTGGACAAACTAGACCTGGCTCTGCCTCAGTGGGACTCTAAGCCTTAGCTCCTTTGATTTTCAAATGGCCATGAAAATGCCTGGCCCACTGGCCTCAGATGGCCGTCATGAGGACCAGAGCATTCATGTATGCATGAGCATTATTAATACTTTCTAGTCCCATAAAGGATTAATTTGATTATCTGTAAAATACCTACTTGGAGGTGACCCTTGTTGGGTACATCATACACTTGGGAATTTTCCTCCACAATATTTCTATGGGAGAACATCCTCAATAAACATTTTCTGCCCAGTTGATCTGACTGACTGACCACCATTCACCAGAGCAGAAAAGGAAAGTTCTTCTGAGACTGCAGGAACCTTCCAGTGTTCTTCTGTCAGTCTGGGTTAAAGATGCCAGACCAGGTGAATGAAATAGGAAGTGATGAGTGCCTTCAGGAATCCTAGGATTCTTCTGTTGATGTCACTTAGAGATCAGGAAAAGACAACAGGGCTGGTATTCAACAAAAGCCAGCATAAGGGAATATCACTTTTGAGTATCGCTTTGTTCTTATTGCTCAGTTGCTAAGTTGTGTCTGCAGTGAACTGCAGCATGACCAGCTTCCCTGTCCTTCACTGTCTTCCTGAGTTTCCCCAAACTTATGTCCACTGAGTCAGTGATGCCATCCAACCATCTCATCCTTTGTTGCCCTCTTCTCCTGCCTTCAATCTTTCCCAGCATCATGGTCTTTTCCAATGAGTCTGCTCTTCCCATCAGGTGGCCAAAGGATTGGAGCTTCAGCATCAGTCCTTCCAGTGAATATTCAGGACTGATTTCCTTTAGGATTGACTGGTTTGGTCTCCTTGCTGTCCAAGGGACCCTCAAGAGTCTTCTCCAGCACCATGGTTTGAAAGCATCAAATCTTAGGCGCTCAGCCTTCTTTACGGTCTAACTCTCATATCATACATAACTATTGGAAAAACCATAGTTTGACTATACAGACAGATGTTTGTCAGCAAAGTGATATCTCTGCTTTTTAATATGCTATCTAGGTTTGTCATAACTTTTCTTCCAAAGAGCAAGTGTCTTTTAATTTCGTGGCTGCAGTTACAATCTGTAGTGATTTTGGAGCCCAAGAAAATAAAGTCTGTCACTGTTTCCATTTTTTCCCCATCTATTTGCCATGAAGTGATGGGACCGAATGCCATGATCCTAGTTTTTTGAATGTTGAGATTTAAACCAGCTTTTTCACTCTCTTCTTTCACCTTAATCAAGAAGCTCTTTAGTTCCTCTTCAATTTCTGCCATTAGGGTGGTGGTATCTGCATATCTGAGGTTATTGATATTTCTCCTGGCAATCTTGATCCAGCCCACCATTTCACATGATGTACTTTGCACAGAAGTTAAACCAACAGGGTGACAATATACAGCCTTGTCATACTCCTTTCCTAATTTTGGAACAGTTCATTGTTCTGTGTCCAGTTCTAACTGTTGCTTCTTGTCCTGCATACAGGTTTCTCAGGAGGCAGGTAAGGTGGTCTGGTATTCCCATCTCTTTTAAGAATTTTCCAGTTTGTAGTGATCCACACAGTCAAAGGCTTTGGTATAGTCAATGAGGCAGAAGTAGATGTTTTTTGGGAATTTCCTTTTGCATGCTTTTTCTATGATCCAACGGATGTTGACAATTTGATCTGTGGTTCCTCTGCCTTTTCTAAATCCAACTTGAACATCTGGAAGTTATCGGTTCACGTACTGTTGAAGCCTAGCTTGGAGAATTTTGAGTGTTACCTTGATAGTGTTTGAAATGAGTGCAATTGTGTGGTAGTTTGAACATTCTTTGGCATTGCCCTTCTTTGGGATTGGAATGAAAACTCACCTTTTCCAGTCCTGTGGCCACTGCTGAGTTTTCCAAATTTCCTGCCATATTGAGTGAATCACTTTAACAGCATCTTCTTTTAGGATTTGAAATAGCTCCACTGGAATTCTATCATCTCCACTATGTTTGTTTGTAGTAGTGCTTCCTAAGGCCCGCTTGACTTGACACTTGAGGATGTCTGGCTCTAGGTGAGTGAGCACACCATCATGGTTATCTGTCATTAAGATCTGTTTTGTACAGCTCTTCTGTGTATTCTTGCCACCTCTTCTTAACCTCTTGTGCTTCTGTTAGGTCCTTGCTGTTTCATTCCTTTATTGTGCCTGTCTTTGCATGAAATATTCCCTTGGTGTCTCTAATTTTCTTGATGAGATCTCTAGTCTTTATTTCTTTGGACTGTTTACTTATGAAGGCTTTCTCCTTGCTATTCTCTGGAACTCTGCATTCAGTTGGGTATCTTTCCTTTTCTCCTTTGTCCTTCTCACCTATTTGTAAGGCCAGCAGCAGGATAACATGATGGCATGGAAAGTATCCCTTAGGCATTTGTTATTTTTCTCATCTAAATGTGGACAACCAGCCCCTAAACCCTCCCTGAGAGATCCCATTTCAGGCCCTGGGTCTCTCCACTCTCCTGCAGACAAGGGCATCGTGGCCCAGAGGACCTCGGGAAGGTGCTGCCCCTGAAACTCCACACACCAGTTCTCCGTACACGTCATCAGTCCAGTGCCTGGACCAGAGGAGCACGTGAGCTCTGCTTTTGGAAGCTCTGCCAGGGTGGAGAGGTCGGGACAGGAGAGAGCCCTGGGCCTTGGTGGCAGCGGAGGCGCCTTGAGAGGGTGAGCACAGGTGTCATCCTTTACATCGCATCCCAACATGAACCCAGTTCTCCCACTTGGTCGCTTTGCACTTATTGCAAGGATTGTACTGACCTCTCCCTTCTTCTTCCAACAGTGAATACTTCCTGAGTCCCAGGGACTTTGCTTGATGCTGAGCTGGTTTCAGAACAGCCACAGAGACCTTGCAGCCTCCTGAGGGGAGGGGCACCAGGTATTTGTGCTGCTGTGTGGTGAGAGCTTAGCTGACATAGGGGGCAGACTGCAGAAGGTCAGGGAGAAGACAGCATTCCAGCTGGGCTTTAAAGGGTCAGGAGAGTTACACCAGGCCCAGGGGGCTGGGGAAAGGGCATTTAAGGCCGAGGAGACAGCTTTGAAAGGCCCTAAGTGTGAGCGTGCCTGGGGCAGTGGTGAGTGTCTCAGTGTACACTGTCTGTAATGTGTGTGGAGGTGGGGAGGCTGTGAAGGTGGTCCCCAGACAGGTGGTCAAGGGGCTGTAGATATAGACTCTGTTCTGTGGGCCGAGGGCGGGGAGGCATGGAGACAGATGGGTACAGCGGATGTCTGAGGTCAGTTCACACCAGTTAGTAAGAGTTCATTGTTACATTTTCTGAGTTTTGTGAACTGGTTGATTTGACATTAGTAGTTTAAAATCAGTGATGGTGGGCATGTTCATGCGATAGAAACTCGCAAACACTCCAATGAGTTTTTGTTTTTTTTTTAAACATTTATTGGCATGTGTTTGTGCACAGATTTGTGTGTGTATTAATGCATGTGTCTGCACACTGGTATATAGTTGATAGAAATCACAAGGAAGAGCCCTACCAACAGGCAGAAAGAACTGCACGTGATTTCGGCACACTCACCAGCCTCAGATTCTTCATCGCTTGGGGAAACATGCCTTGGTGTAACTGCAGTTTGCCAACTTTCATTATCTGTACACCTCTGACGGGATGGTTTCCTGGGTAAAAAATCCTGGGAGAAAACAAATGGCAAGCAGCGTGAGTAGCTCTCACCCATGCAATCAGCGTTTCATCAGGAGAACACAAAAGTGGGAGCGAAGGCTGGCTGTGAATGTCAACGAGCCCCTAAGCAGAACCAGCTTTGCAGCCTGAGAACACGATGCTGAGGGAAGAAGCTCACTGCTGGTCTCCTGCTCCCCGGAATGCCTTCTGCACTAGGGGAAAGGGACAGGACTGGAATGCCTCTCTACTAAACACTAAGAGAAGCTCCAGCACCCAGGAAGCCTTGGACCAGAAGCTGGCCTCTCAGTATATAATTGTTAAGTAAATCAATGATATGCCCACAACCCTCCTTTTAACCACAAAGTCCTCTGAGTCTCAGGTGCAGAGGCTCATTGATTGCAGTCCACGTTTCTTACTGCCCCTGTGTATTCATTCTGTCATCACTGGACTCCAGAGCTTTGGATTCAGACACCCCATCTGTGTTGGCCACCATGTCCTGCATGCAAGAACTCCACACATACCTGACCTCTTTCACACACAGCGGAATAGAACAGAGTGTTGTAGTGGACTGAAGAATGAAAACCAAGGACTATGTTTCAGACCCAGTGTAATTTCACCTTGACTCAACAAGAACTTACTAATATTAGAGTCAACAAAATGTGAACAGTTCGGCCTCTTCTTCCTCCTACATCATCTATCCTGAGAGTCTCCTGGGCGCCTGCTGTATAAGTGAGATCAATCCTAGGGCTGGAGGAAATAGTACACTGTATATATATATATATATATATATATATATATATATATATATGTGATCTTTTCCCTTGAGGCTCATGATCCCATTAGACACAAGATAGACATTCATACAACAGTTTAAAAATATCACAGGATAGAGCATGACTGAGTACACAGCAATGGTCAGTTCAACTGTGTGGAATGAACTGAGAAAATGACACAGGAGTTAGAAAGAGGAGAGTTTAACGGGGCTCCCTGGGATCTGGGAAGGCTTGTCTTGGTTGGGGAGGAATGGAAATACATCCTTGCTGTTGAGTGGCTTGACTGAAGGTGCAATCCAGATGCTGCCTGTCCAGAGACAACAGGTACTTGCCTATAGGCCTCCAAAAGGTAATCCCAAGTCATGACTTATATGGGGCTTGCCATGTGCCAAGCACTGTTCTGCTTTTCACTTATGAACACGCCATAGAACCCACATTTAGGCTCTACTGTGAGGTGGATTTATCAAGAGACACATATGTTCTCCAATTAGTATACTATCTGTACACCATTCCCTAGCCCTGAACCTCAGCTCTTGCCCACATGAAATGTGATATAGAAACTTTGTTCATTCAGGCTCTTAAAGAAATGGAAAGCAGTACCCGAGAGAGGGAGGTATTTAAATTAATAGAATGTTGGCTGTGTTTCTTTTAAAGAACTAAAAAGGGAGGGGACGGAGGGAAACAAAGGTGACACCTGGGTCCTGGCTTTTCCTTCATCTACTGAGCCTGCCAAGAGATCAGTCACATCACCTCTCCCCCTTACAAAACGAACATCATTATCTACTTGTGTGGAAAAGTTTTTAAGATCCCCGGACAAAAGGCTTAAGTATAGGATGCCATTGCCCTGTACTTAATTGCCTTGGACACTTTCCTTGAAAAGCACACCTGGATTTGGAACTTTATTTTATTGCTATGAATGTACCATAATTAAATTTAAAGGCCAAAAAGTAATTTCATACTAATAATCATTCTATTAAGTGGATGTCTGTCATGTCAGTTAGCAAAAGCAAAGAAAATCTTGGGTTCTGTGGTGGCAGAGAAAGTGGTGCATATAATTACTCCATGACAGGTACCTGCTCTGGTTGCTTAAAGATATTAAAAAAACGAAGTGGAGTTTAATCAGGAGAGGATAAGGAAGTGTCTGGGAGGACTTCCACATAAATATTTACGGAGCAGCCTTGCAGCTCTGGCAGGGGTGATGTGCATGTGCCTGGGTTGTTTCTGGAGGCCTCCCAGCTGACATATGGAATAAGCATCATGATTACTTGCCGGAATAGCACCCCAAGGAAAACTGGTGAAGCTCACTCCTGCTGGGAGAAGTTCTCTACCCAGGGCACGGCTTTCGTCAGCTTTCTGCATGTGACAGTGAGGAGGAGGGAGGAGGTCTTCAATCACAGGACCGTCAGGAATCAAGGCCAGGCTGAGGGCCTGAACCAGAGAAGGAATGAAGGATGCCCAAGGACTAAAACAGGAGTTTGAATGTGAGACTCTAGAGGCAGAGAGACCTGCTGAGGTCTGGCAGTCAGAGTTGACTCCAAGATTCAGAAATCGAAATGCTGCCACAAAAACACAAGCAGACCGTATAATAACAAAATTTTCATTCAACCAGGCATTCTGCTTGTTTGGTGTTAGGAATTTTCTTTTTGTGGGTATAGTGCTAGCAGTCATGTGGTCCAGGATGCTAGGCCCAGAAAGGAAAAAGTGCCCTTCGTGTTCCTGTGGTGCAGAAGTATACAGGAAGGAAGGTGTTTAAACAAGCAAGAGAAAAGTAGCAGCACATGCTAGTTTAACCAAGACCCATGAGCTCCAAGATCTTGCTGCCATATTCTCCCAGAAGGCTTCAGGTCAGGGAACTGGAATGTCTCAAATAAAAGGGGATAGAGAAAAACACACCCGATGGCAGGACCTATGTTGTTGGTCTTGCTGAAGTTTTCCCACATGATGCAATTACCAGTCACATTTCTTCACTACAGGTAGCAGTCCTAACATTTGTATGGCAGCAAAAACCACTTATTGTTAGGATTCTTTTTCTTTTTAAGAACTCATATAAAATGCATTACTGAGTTTAAAACAAGAGCTTAACTATATAAACTGTATCTTAGCATAACCAAGTAGCTATAATGTATTAGTATGAATTTTAGCTGATAAATGTGAAATCTAATTCTAATAATTAGAAAAATCAGCATTTTGCAACTCTTGAAGAAATAACTAATCCATGAAAAATGTATCACTAGATGAAACCAGTAGATCAAAGAATGATGGAAAATTTTACAATGTGTAAGGTTATTACCATCTGAACCCAGTCATCAATCTTAGCATCACTAACATGGGACAGCCAGACATGACCTGCTGTCTGAGCTGACTATAGTAAGATTTTGTACCAACTATAAAGGATCCTTGACAAAAAAAAAAAGAAATGAAATTTAATCAAGCCCATAAAATTCCATTTCACAGGAAAAATAATTGGTAGAGGAACAAATAACAGCAACCAGCTACTTACCAAATTCAAAATATGGTTAAGTTTTACAGAACTGTCGTCACCCAGGATCTTTAGCAGGTCCATGGCATGAAAAGAAAAAGGTGGCAGAGGAGAAGACTCTAGATTAAGAGAGACTTAAGAGATACAACAGTCAAAGGTAATTTGTAGACCTTTTTCATTTTAACTCAAAAGTTATGACCAACCTGGATAGCCAATAAAGTTCCGTCTAGTCAAGGCTGTGGTTTTTCCAGTGGTCGTGTATGGATGTGAGAGTTGGACTGTGAAGAAAAAGTTGAGCACCAAAGAATTGATGCTTTTGAACCATGGTGGTGGAGAAGACTCTTGAGAGTCCCTTGGACTGCAAGGAGATCCAACCAGTCCATCCTAAAGGAGATCGGTCCTGGGTGTTCATTGGAAGGACTGATGCTGAAGCTGAAACTCCAATACTTTGGTCACCTCATGCGAAGAATTGACTCATTGGAAAAGACCCTAATGCTGGGAAAGGTTGGGGGCAGGAGGAGAAGGGGACGACAGAGGATGAGATGGCTGGATGGCGTCACCAGCTCAATGGACATGGGTTTGGGTAGACTCCGGGAATTGGTGATGGACAGGGAGGCCTGGTGTGCTGCGATTCATGGGGACGCAAAGAGTCAGACAGGACTAAGTGACTGAAGTGAAGTGAAGTGGCTCAGTTGTGTCCAACTCTGCGACTCCATGGGATTTTCCAGGCATGAATACTGGAGTGGATTGCCATTTCCTTCTCCAGACTGAACTGAACTATAAAAAGACATTTCTGAGTCAATCTAGGAAATGTGAACATGAAATGGCATTGTAAGAAAAGATCCCCATTTTTCAGAGATACGAACTGAAATACGCATGGATAAAATGCTGTAACGACTGTGAATTGATTTAAATCTCTTCAGCATAATTTCTCCTTCCAGCAGTGATGGATTAGTTTTTTTCAGACCAAACTCCATGCTAACAAGAAACATTAGACAAAATATTTATAAAACTGTTTGAAGGTGTCAAAGAATGACTGAGGGACTGGAGTCTGAATGACTCAAAGGGCAGAAAGAATAGACTCTCAAGTAGGTGGTCCTTTGTTGCTCCTTTTCCCTTTGTTGATTTCAAAGGAGAGGCAGTTAGGCTAAAGAACTAAGCAGAAGTTTTGGCAGTCTCAAAGGGGACACAGAATTTGGAGCTCAGGGCTCAGCAAAGAAGAAAAGGAGCACTTAATAAACATCCTTGACTTTCATTTGTGACCCAGCACCCCGCCCCCCCAAAGGGCTACAATCCAGGAATAGTGGTAGAGTAGCTTTACTTGTAATATGATGCATTTTTGTTGTTGTTTAAAAAAAAAAAGATCCCAACATTGGGAAACAAAACCAAAGAAAGAAAAGAATGTGTAGCAAAGAGAAGCCTGTTGGGGCTGGGAGAGGTTGGGAAGACACTGGCTGAGTAGCCAGAAGCTGCCTCCTTAAGGAAAGGCTTATGATGTAGATAGAGTTAAATGTCCAATTTTGAACTTAAAAGTTTGAGTTTTAGCTTACTTTTTGAAAAAATGTACAGAGAAGACATTGCCCATACTTGTAACTTTCAACTAGGTGTGTTTAATTAGTTTAATTTAACCCTGGACTTGTGCACAAATTTCCTCATCCCCTTGCCAGACCTGCTTATGTGCTGCCTGGTCCACTGGCAGCATGGCTAACAGCGGGGAGATGCCATGGGCCAGCCAGCATGACTGAATTATACTGTGAC